TGTAGATCTGTTTGGACAAGATTACCATTATTGTCACTGATCCAGAGTCTGTCTGATTGATCTAGTGATACATGGTAAACATTATTAACACCTGGTACATCGAACTTCCTGACCTTGGTGACAGAGGCAGATAGAGACAATGTTTGTTTCTTGTCAGATTTCTTTCTGTCTTCTTTCATCTGTTTATGTGTAGGTTTCATGGTTGTATTGTAAACACTTTCAATGGGCCTTATTTCTCTCTTCTCTGCTTTAGTGTTGGGGACGTGTATTTTACCAAGTAACTTGGTGACATCATTTTTGTTGTATTGACCAGCAGTAAATCCTGGTGTGACTGGTTTTGTTGTCTCTGGTATGGATCGGATCTTTGGTTTCTTCTCAGACATTAATTTCTGGGTTTCTGTAGAGGACAGGCATCTGTGGAGCTCTTTGACAAGGTTATTAAGATAAGTGATGTAGTCATCTAATGTCTTGTCTTGGGTGTTTAGATCTTCTAACAGTGAATGCTCTATCTGGTCTATCTGCTTCATGTTCTCAGATACGACTGTGTCCATCAGACTTTTGAGGGTTTCACCTTCTGTCTTCATGCGTGTTCTGATGTTGTCCATAATGTGTTTGATTTCAGAGGAATCTCGTTTTATTTCTTTCTGTAAATCTTGTGATGTTGGGAGAAAATAATCTTGGATCTTGGATATTTCTTCTTGAAAATCTGCAAATTTTTCTGCATAATTTTTTTCTAGATCAATAAATATATGCCCCCGATGCTCTCTTTGTGTGACACATTTGGAACATACTGGAACTTGACATTCTTCACAGAGCATTTCCACATCTTTAGTGGGGTGGATCTTGCATTTCTCTACAGGAAGTTGTCGGTTGCGTTGCTGATAAAGGACCACCTCATGGTTCTTGTTTTCTGGACTTTTCAGATGTTCGTCTCTGCATTGTTTACACAATCTTAAGTGACAAGGGTTGCAATAGAACTCACAATTTCTTTCACATTTTTCAATGACACACTCCAAAAAGTGCTGGGCTGCGCGGGGGATATCCATTTTAGACAAGGCCATCTAAAATTGATGAGAATCGTATACAAGAAAAGAAAAAGATATGGAAATGTTTTCTGTGCTACATGGAGACAGAGTAGTGATAAAATTACACGTTAATTATATGTTTATAACAGTACAGCAATTATCCATGAAACACATGAACTCCGATCCGACACCATATACAGTGAAGTCGCCAATTCCGGGTCACGTCAGGGTGTTTCATTGATATTTTGAAAATCTGTTCAATTTTTATTTTATGCAATATATGTATTGAAAGAACAAATAGTGAGTCATCCAAACACCTTTTCGTTTTCAAAGTAGCTACACGGGAACAATATTTACAGTGGTATTTCAGCAAGGCCTAGCTTCCCCAGTTACGAATCATTTTCTCCATTTCCGGGTCATGTGAGTTCACGGTCGTGTAATATTCATGGAATGTTTTGGAACACGCTTTTTATGATGTTGAAACATAAAACAATTCATGCAGCATGGAAAAAAAGTAAAACAATCACAGAAGTATGATTAAATTATTTTTAAAACAATTACAACAAAACAAATTGCAGTATGCAGAATGTAAAAAAAATGTATTAGGATTAAAAATAATACAATTAAATTCATTTATATAAAAAATGCATTTGAAGGGTTAACTCGATTTTAATTTTTAGAAAAAATATTTTCCAGTTAGAATACTTTTGATAAACAAGGAAAATACATGGTTGTTGATTGGTTTTGTACATAGAATTTTGAGGTGTTCATGCCACGAGATTGCGTGACCCGCAATTGGAGAAACAACTACAGTTTGATTTGATATTCATTATAATTTTATTTGAGCAGCGATCAGTATGATTGATTTCTGAGTTAAAACTAAATGCGTTTGCCATACTTTCGAGCTCTTATTATTTATCTAGAACTTTTATATCAGCCTTTCTGCAGCGAACAAAAACGAAAGTAGCCCGTCACCGCATCAGAATTATCCAAGTCTTTAATGAGTGCGTTTCAGAATTTCGATTCTCGGATGCTCTCTTAAAGTTGATATTCAAAATTTTGTAATTAATTACAGACAGAAAGACCAGTTCTTCACGACCAGCGTATTAATTAAGTTTTTTGCGCTGAAATTTTAACACTAGGCATAAAATATACGCGAGTGACCCGGAATAGGAGATGACCCGGAATTGGCGACCCCACTGTATATTGAATTAAATGTATCTCCGAATCACAACTGCATAATTCAGGCATATATTACGAAGATGGTTTTAATTACATGTACTTACAGCTAAATTATGAATGACCTGTAAATGACTCCCTTGACAGAACTTTGGAATGTGAGAATGAGATTTATAGCGAGATTTAAACGATATTTGTAATTTACTTCCTGGTTGGAGATATATATACCCGGTATTCAATCTATACATGTACCCAGAGTTATCGTTCGCTTCGCTACAACACCTCGAGGTGTAAGTGGAACTATAACTCGGGGTAGAGATTGATTGATATTTTTTTTTGTATTTTATTTGAACCGGAGACATTACCTCTCATTGGTATACAATATTCATACATAAGATTTGTACAGGCTATACAATATACATGTATTAATTACATAACAATATCATTTAATTATTATTTAGAACATCATTTCTTAAAAAAATACAAAAATTTGCCCAGGTTACATAGTTCTTTAGTATTTGTAGAACTCAGTAGCTGTACTAATTTAAATACTGATGGTTTTTTAAAATAATAACACTTAATATATTTATTTCTAAGTTCTTCATATCGACGACATTTTAATACAAAATGAAATTCGTCCTCGATCTCACCTAACATACATATTTCACATTTCTATCTTTTCTTTCTATATTTACTATACCTTCCCCTTTCTATTCTTAAATCATGAGCTGATAGCCTTAAACGACTGATAGGTATTCTATATATACTTCATTGGCGTCGGAAGCAAATTGAAAGTGGGGGGGGGGGGGCTAAGTGTAAGAAATTTTTTTTGTACCTCCAAAAAAAACTGACAAGCAAAAAAAAAAAAAAAAAAAAAGGAAATGTCTATTTTCCAAACACGAAAATCCTATTACGTGGGGGGGGGGGGGGGGGGGGGCAAGGTTTGAACTCCAGTTACCAAAAATTTTCTTCCAAACACCAACACTTTTACCAATTTTAACCTATACTAAGACGTATCTGTGGAAAGTGGGGGGGGGGGGGGCTAAACGTACGAAGAAATGTTCAAAGTCTATACTAAGTATATATTTGGAAAAAAAAGTGGGGCTAAGCCCCCCTAGCCCCCCCCCCCCCCCCCCCCGGTTCCGACGCCTATGTACTTAGAATGCAATGGATTTCTTAAATAAATCTGTAATGCCACATTTTCCACTAAATGTTGAAATAAAAAATATTTAGGGGAATTACAAATTCTTGCCATAATTTCTTGTTTACAACAGTCATTTGAAATACAATGTTCAGAGTATTATTATCAATACATTTACTATAATACATGTCAGTTAAACCAAGCCTTTGGAATTCCTTTTTAATGTTTACAATCCATTCATCATTATTTTCAACCATATCTTGATAACATGCTTGTAATATACAATTATCACTGTTTTTAATTTCACCCAGTATTTCAAAATTTTCTTTTTCCTTTCAAGTATAAGTGGAAATCTACCTGATTCACAATAAACTGCATCATTACTAGTGCTTTGTCTGACCTTTAAGACTCTTTTACAATAATTTAAGTGAACATTTTCTATGTCTTGACCCTTGTGAAATCCCCATACTTCAGCTCCATAGCTCATAACACTGTTAACATAAGTATCGAATACAGCTAATTGTGTTTCTACGTTAAAATGCAAATCCCTGATTTTACTATTTACACCGTACATAGCTTTTTTACCTTGACCGGCATGAAAAATGTTTCTGTGTTTCAGAAAATCCTATTTCGTGGGGGGGGGGGGGGGTTGTGGCCCACTTTATATCACTAAACGATGCTAAAAAGGGGGGGGGGGCAACCATCCTTTCAATGAACATTTTCTATAGTATTAAAGGTAACGTTGGGGAAAAAAGTGGGGAGGGGCCAACCCCCCCCCCCCCCCCCCCGTTGCTACGTCCCTGCAGAGTAAAATTCTTTGTGAACAAATGGAAAGACACACACATACAAAATCCATGCATAGCTCAAATATGGAAAGGCCTTGTCATAATGAATCGAATACACATGTGAAGTGGGATTTTCAAGCCCTAGATTTTGAAATTTCAATAATTGTACACGTGTGTTGATATTCCAAATCATATTGACAGTATATCAAGTAAGTTGAAAGCACACATATTAGGGATTCTGAAAAGAATTTAATTTTTAATTCTTTTAGTGTTTAAAAATTTGTTATATTAGTTGTATCTTGGAAGTCAGCTTGACATAGGACTAAATTAATTGTAGGTGCACCCCCCCCCCCACCCCACATGAACTTCTGAATCCGCCACTGGTTGGTATCAAATTACGAAGGAATTTCGAAGGAAGGTCTTGTCACTTTTCAAAAGCTAAATGCCCAAAAGATTCAAATGCAAATGATTGTGGCCATGCAGGGTTAATTTTTAGTAATTTGACATCATTTACATTTGACATTCTGAGTTTATTACGGATATATGCACATCCAGGTATGTTGGGTAACGACCGCTATGTAATAAGTACAGCTTCTACATCCCTATGATCGAGGAACCATACCAAATCCGGCTTTTAGAGCACTTGCTACGGATTAGATAGTTTTGAATTTCTTAAATTGCAAAACTTTAATGTAACATCCATCCTAAAGTCATCGCACCATTGATATCCTGTTTTTTTTTTTATTAGACTGAAGACAAAGTTTTATAAGGCTTATAAAGATTACACCTTTTTGTATTAAGGCATAATAAAGGGGAAGAAAATGGAAGTTCATTTGTAATGGAAAGTAATTTGAAACTCGAATAAAATTTGTATGAGTTAACAAATCCCCACCAAAAATCAATATTTTTTTTCGCCAAAATATAAACAGGTTTTGGAACAGAGAGGATATTGACAAAAGGACCGCTGCAATTCAGTGTGTCGGGGAACATTACAAATGCTAAAGAGGGATATTTGATTTACACATCAGTAAGAGAGCGCGGGATTTGTTTGCCTTTTGGTGAGGGAAGGGGGTAGAATAACTCTGTCCGAACTGACATTCCAGCCCGCGAGAGTTTCAGCATGGAAAGAGTTCCGCTTGGTTTTGAATTACAAGAAGAGAATAAAGGTAAACAAAAAGTGCAATATATAGGTCGACATACAGTTTATCAGGATATAATTTAGATTTTGTTTACTATCAGACTTGTCACTTTCATCTTGTAAAACTTCGTTCTCTTGGTATGTGTAGGCGTCTGCAGAGATTGCGAAATGTTTACACCCCTTTTAGCTTTTCCCGGTTTTAAATTCCAGAACAAATAATTCTTTACATTTGATATGACTATGAGTATATGCCATTTTTTTTTTTCAAAATCAATGTTTAGAAAATCTTTTTAACATGTTAAACAGAGTAAATATACATGCATATTTACAGATACTGGGTATCCACATACTTCATTATTGTGTATAAGTAAAATTTATGATTTAGGGTGATTCCATGGAAGTAATAATTATGCATGGGCTGGCTATTTCCATCAGTTAACACAGAATTCCTCAGAAATCAATACACCAACTCTTCTGCTGTCCACTCTGAGTGTTCCATCGCATTGTATGGAGACATCATTGCCCTGAGGGGTCAGTTTAGTGTCAACAGGCTGGACAGTGGACAGTGTGTATATTATGTACTGCCAGGAATGTATTGTGTGACACAGAATGAAAGTGTATTAATCTCTTCTGTACAAAGTGTATATACACAGCTATAGGTAACAATGTTTAAACTGAATTGAGTTCTGTCTATGTCGTGTACAGGTGAATTAAATCAAAAATTCAAAGTTTTTAGTGTGTGCTTTTTGGTAATTAATAAATAATAATGATGTGATCATTCTTATTCTCAAATTTTGTTTATTGCTGTACCTCTTACAATTTAATTTTATTGATACACAATATTCTACTTAAATATCAAAGTTTGCCTGTAAAAAAAATACTACTTGTAAAAAAGAATATTTAAGGTTAAATAATTAATATGTCTTTATGATGGAAACCAGTTAATTTGGTACATTCTTCCCTTCCCACATTTTTTTCATAATTAACATGTTATTAACTGTTTTTGCATCATTTAATTTCCTTGTACAGTTATAAACTTTTAAACCAATTAAATAATGACTCTATTCACTATCATACATAAACAAGTATCAGTAAGTACATAACTTTATATTATCTTTATAATGTAATTATATATCTATCTAATAGTTTATTTATTTCTTCCTCATGAAGTGCTTTTTTCCCATTCATAAATTGAATACCTACTTGTCATGGACTTAACAAGTACATGTACACTTCAAGACTTGGATGAATATAAAGATATGTTGTTTTGCTTGGTAGACCCACTTTAAGAATTTTAGTTTTCTGAAGCATGAGTACAGGAAATCTTAGATTAGTCATTTTCGACATACTTAATACATGTAATTTTACTATGTAGTACACAATAGTACACAATAGTATGTTAGCCATTATCGATATTCTAATTAAAAACAAATTAATTACAGAAAAATAGTTACAGATATTGTGCAGATTCAGTTCTTTCTCCCCCTTTTTCTTTCAGTCTCTTTCTCTCTCGTTCCTTGTTTGTCCGTCTGTTTTCTCTCTCTCTTTCTCTCTCTCTCTCTCTCCTCTTTATCATATTTTACTGTCAGTTGTCCTTTTACAGCCAAGCATGAAAAACATGAAATATGTCATCTGAAAATCATGATAAATCATTCATTGGATTACATGAAGACAAATACATGATAATTGATCAATCCCATAACAGACTGTTCATATATTTATCCACGGAATTTCCACAGTGAAGATTTTTCCAGAGGACTCTGCATTGTTGTACTGGTGCAGCTATTAAACAATTATCTGTAGAGATCCAGGAAATCATAAAAAGATTAAAATCCATCAAGTGACACTGATAGCTTTTTGCTCTTGTTATCATGGTTATAGTCATAGTTAGATATGAGGCTGACATTTCCTTGATATAAGTAATGGAATCTAGACACGGAAAATAATGATTTTCTGATAGGTTGATAAAATCCTCATAGTACAATCAAATGATTCGTATCAGATTAATAAGGCATTTGAAAAATATAACTGTATTGATTAATGTGTTAAAAAATGAACATAGGCATCGGAAGCAGAATGAAAGTGGGGAGGGGACTTTTAACCAACATTCAAAAATTGTTTCAGGGGCTAAGCTAAGCCCAATTTTCAATGCCTTTATATACCGGTAAATATGTGTATAATAGCTAAAAAGTGTGTATGTTTTTTTTAGGGATGGGGGGAGGGGGGTTACGCAGTTCATTAATTGCATTATAAGAGCAAAGTATTTATTATAAACTATAAATCTTTAACTAATTTAAAAGTACTTAATATCTTTGTTACTTAATGAATTACTATGTACTTGTAGGGGACCCTGCCCTGATCAACGTGACCCAGATAGATGTCAACTACCCAGGGTACCCCCCACCCGCGGCCCAACCAGGTAAGATCAAGTAGTTAATTATTATACAAGGCATTTATTTTTTTTTTTCACAAAGTCATTGTTTTTTCTTTTCTGTTAAAAAAATTTTGTTTTTAAAAATTTTTGTACTTGTTCCAATTTGTCATGAATGATGGATCACAGTGTTATTTAGATATTTCTATCAATTAATCTCCAGCAATAGGAACATTATGCTTTCTTTTAATTAAGCTGTCAATTAAATTTTTAATTTATTTGAAGTCCTTGAATCGAAGCAGAAGTGATAGATTTCATTTAGGACATAGTTCTTATTTGCACCTGTACCATGCAGCCAGGTAGATATGGCTATGGGTATGTGGAATGTTTATGATTGTGTAGTGACCTGCGGTCAGTTGTGCGACACAAATATGTCACCATTTATTTTATAAAGAGCTGCCATTTCTAGTAAACACCATAAATTTCAGCATCTGTTGAAATAATGTGCCACAAAGCTACACTATTGAAAGATATATATCACAATCAACATCTGATTTGTTTTATTTGTATGTTATTTAAATATTATGGTTAATAATCTGTTTGGTTTTTCTTTGGACTATAAGTCCATTGATTACAATATTAATATATTGCCATTTACTCAGCATAGCCTGATAGCAATACATTCTTGACAACATTACATTGATTTTTCATCTGTATTAATTGGTAAAGATAGGAACCTTATATTGCCATTTAGCCAAAATGAAAAATATCACGGAATATGACATTTTACACTGTTTTCATGTCAAAATGGACGCTACGGTACATTATTTTGTTGAATAAGGGTCTGCTACATCTCTGACCTAAATTCGAAATGAACAATATATATACATTTGTACCGTACATGAATGGTTACTACTGTAAATAAATATAAATACATCATCACAAATCTAGGTGTGATGTAGATCTTTAGTCAGGAAATGTACATCTCAAGTGTACATTGCATCTTTGATATCCCTCCCACACAATTTTATATCTTTCAAATTTCTGTAAATCCTTTTGAGTGATGGGGGCATCTGATTCATACATGCCTCCAGTTTCAGACAGAATCGGGGCTAGCTGTAGTATAAATACAGCTGATAAGACAGATCTTTCGAGAGGCTTTTTTTATGCATTTTTTTTTATACACCAAAGATTATCAGATTAACAGTGCCAAACTATTAAAATAGATGTAGATATGTTAGTTGTAACTTGTAGAAGAAATTAATATATTATGATCAGATATCATTTCTGCTTCTTTAGTTTACAATGTACATACATTTTAATGTATGTATACATGTACATGTATAATTTTGACCTCTGAAAACATTTTAGCTCAGCATCTTGTGAGGTTTTGATTTCAAAAACTTAAAATATGCATGTTCACTAGACTAGTTGTGAGTTTGTAGAGAATCAAAATTTTTGTTTACACATGATTATATGTACTTGTTCAATATTACTTTGAAACAAGCTCTCACTCTTCAATTATTTATGCAAGTCAAATTACCTTCATGACAATCTACAATCAGCATATCGCCCATGTCACTCTACTGAAACAGCTTTACTTAGAGTCCATCACGATATTGTTGCAGCGTTAGATTCTGGTTCATGTGTGGCATTAATTATGTTAGACCTATCTGCAGCTTTTGATGTCATCGACCACTCCATTCTGATAAATCGACTAGAAATTGGTTTTGGCATATCTGGCTCGGCCCTCGCATGGATCAAGTCGTACCTATCAGGAAGGACGCATAAAATTGCTATTGGATCTTCTTTTTCCAGGGACTACCATCTTAGATGTGGTGTACCACAAGGGTCTGTGTTGGGTCCAAGGTTATATTCCATTTTTTCCAGACCTATTGGTAACATATGTTCCAAAAACAACATACACCATCATTGCTATGCTGATGATACCCAAGCTTATCTGGTCTTTAAACCCAGGAATAACTGGAATAATACCGCTTTGAGACTTGAAACATGCCTGGAAGAAATCAAGCAGTGGATGTGTTCCAACATGCTAAAACTAAACCAGGACAAAACAGAATTTATAGTTTTTACTCCGAAACAACAACTCAAGGAGTCTCCATCTTACCATCTGAACTTTAGTGACACCATCGTGAGAGAGGCGACCAGTGTAAAAAACCTCGGGGTGTGGTTCTATAAGTCTCTTAGCATGCAAATGCAAAATTCCTCCGTGTCTCGTGCATGCTATTATCAGCTCAGGAACATTGGGAGAATACGTCCATTGATTGTAGAAGATGCCTGCAAGACCCTGGTCTGCCCTCTTGTGACATCTAGGCTCGACTATGCCAACGCTCTCTTCTATGGCATAAATACAACCGAAATAGCCAAATTACAAAGAATACAGAACACAGCAGCACGCATTATTACTCGTTCCAGGAAGAGGGAGCACATTACTCCGATCCTAGTTTCCCTTCATTGGCTTCCAATTGACAAACGCATCCAGTACAAAATTCTTATTTATACTTACAAAGCAATCAACAACATAGCACCAAAATACATTGCAGAGCTCATCAACGTATATCAACCTGGTCGTTCCCTTAGATCGGCAAACAAGCTGTCATTGCAAAGACCACACTGCCGAACATCAACCTATGGGAATAGACGTTTTGACGTGGCCGCTGCATCCCTCTGGAACTCTTTACCTCCACATCTGGTTTTATGCCCATCCTTGAACACTTTTAAAAAACATTTGAAAACTCATCTTTTTAGGGAAGCATTCGGTTAAATTTTTATTTTTAAGTGTCAAATATAGACTGTTTTTATTTATTTATTTATTTATTTACTTATGTTTAAAGATTTCTGACTTTAAATATTTGGTTATTTTTAATCTTCTTAAATTTCTTATGCTCTATTGTATGCAGTTTTCTCTTTTCGTGTTTTGATATCGTTTAATCATCATTTTGCAAAAATATTTTTAATTTTTAAAATGGTTATCAATACTTAATTTTATTTTCTTATGCTATTCAACAAAATTTTTATTCTTGATGTTGTATTTATGTATGTATTTTAACTATGTTGTACAGCGCTTTAGAGTAATTGTGTTTATTATATAAGGCGCTCTATAAATTTTGTATAATAATAATAATAATAATAATATGTTTATATTAGATTTCAGTTGAATACAATGTGACAGTCATGTATATTCAGAAATGAGTAAAACATATGATTTGTTTGAAGCATTTTTCCCTTCCATTCAGTTTTGATGTTGCTTGGGAGGGGTCACAGATATATTTTTCATGCTTCAATATACCTGAATAAACATTCACCTAGATAATAAACACATAATATACACACATTTCACAGTGGTAAACTTCTGTAGTTATTTGTAATAAATCATTGGGCGTTGATTGTGTTGTGTTTGAGTAATCCACTGGCCAAGTTTATCATACATAGTCCATCCTAGTTCCTCCAAGGATATGTCTACATGTATAATACACATCTACACATTAAACATGTCAAATTAGCTTCCCTTCTCAGTTAACATGTAAACTCTCCAGGAATTTGGTTTACACATTCAGTTGAACTAGAGATCGAGGGGGAAATTTACAAATTTGAACAGAGAAATTTACAATTTGTATATTTATAGAGCCACAGATTGGTTAAGGATGGATGGCTATGTGGAATTGACAGGTGGGTTTTGTACAAGGTCAAGGTTTTATTGAGGGTAGTTTAGACCTTACTATGAATTCTTCAGATCAGATGATCCAAGGTCAGAGATTTTTGATTTTACATTAATTTGTACTCTGTGTGCTTGTCAATTCATGGTATGTACAAGTATGTATAAAAGTATAATCTTAATTTATTTACGTAGGTCACATGTATTTAATTTTTAAAATTCTTAATTTAATATGATGTACATGTATTTTAATACAATGATAGTTGTTATAACGTCAGAGCTATCAAAATTTTAAAAAAGTGACTAAAATTTTTTTCTAGGAACCTTTTTGATTTAAAATCCTACTAATGCAAATGTTTGAATGTCTGAAATATATATATTTGATATTAAAAATTATATTAGCTGTATATTGAGTTACTGTTTACATGTAATTTTGTACCTGGTACATGTATACAATTTTAAAATTGTACCGGAAATGTACTTAGTAAAGGATGTGGGTGGACTGGCCCAGTTATATGAAAATAATTTTCAAATTTTTAATAAATTTAGAACCTTACATCCTTCAATTTTAATCAATTTAATTTCTCCAACAATCATCCTGAAAATTAAAATTTATTATTTATTTATTATATATTAAAACTAATGCTTAATTTAAAAAATGCATACTATGTTGATTGAAAGATCAATGTAACTATCATTGTCTAAAAGTCAAAATGATAATGATGCAATTTATGTGAAAATAATTTTTAGTGAAAGTGCAATCTTAGTACCTGGTATTACAAGATGTTGTTGCATGCCCACAGGCATTTGAGGGGTGGGAGGAATTAAGGTCCACTATCCCCATTATGAATTTTTGTGATACATTTTATGGTTATGCATGATGATTTGACATTTAAGCCTATTAAATCAGCATCACATTCCATGGATTAAGGCAATTTCCATTATAAAATCAGCACGACAGCGATATATTGAAAAACGCCAATATGCTACATTAGGCAGTACGTTTTTCGTACCTGAATATTTTTTTCTTATTTCTGTTCAGATAAATTCTTGGCTTATCTAACAGTTAAAAGTGGAATAGTCAGGTAGTTAAGCAGGGATTTATACACAAACATATAATGTAAAGGAATCCAGGTCTAATGATGTGACGAATTATTATCGGTGAAATAGAATCCAAAGTGTTGCTTTTTCCATGGTGATTGAAAGGAAAATTTCTGTCATCTGATTCCTTGACATGGATGGGGTTTTCATTATCTTGGACGTGATTGACAGAGCTGTAGAAAATTAAAATTTTTTTCTTGTAAGATGTCATCTGTCAGATTTTTGATAATTCTTATTTAAAAATGAATCATGGAATTCACCATACTAGTAAGTATATTTTCCTTTCAATATGAAAAATTGTGCATTTTTAAATTTTGAAGAGATTTGATGCAATCAAAAAGACAGTTTGTGAATTTCAAATATTTTATACCAAACAGTGCAAGTAACATGAAGAATAAGATATTCTTTATAACATATGACTATTAAATACTTGGGTACATGTATCCCTGTCAATTGGATATTGGGGTGGGGTGGAATGTTTAGCATGATGTTAAAGAGAAGATTAATTTTGGGTGGGGTGGGGGTGGGGAAAGGGTTCTGTTTTGTGGCTCCACTGTGAGCATTGCCTCCTCAGACCGCAGTTGAACCCTACCCTATCCATACATGTAAGTAGTATGAAGACTTCTTGTCAATGAAATTAGACAATCTAAGAATACAATACCGGCATCAAAACACATACTTTGAAATTTCTTACATTGCTGCTTTCTGTATATTCATAAATGTAATTCTTACTGTCGAAAATCATTTCAATTGGATTATATGTATTATTTAAGGAAATGTATTATAAGTAAGGTTCTACATCTCTCTATACTGCAAATGTTTGTTTTAAATTATTATGAACAAGTTATTTTTAGGGCAGTTGATAAAGATTCCCTTACTTTGCTTGTACATCAGGAAGTTCCTATTATTTACACAGCTGTGGAAGAATATTCCTCATTATTTAATGCAGGGTTTTGTGGCATTTCTGCCCCTACATTTCCTGTAAAATGTATATTTTGTTACAGAAATTGACAAATGCTCTGCAGAAAGGGGGATAACTCTGAATTTATTCAAAGATTTTTTTTATTCAAAAATGCTCTTGCATTGTACAAAGATATCACAGTGATATTAAGGAGAATCTATAATGTAAATATATTATACTTGTAATTGACCCAACAATAAAAGAATAACTTGTCATAGATGGAAGAAAAGGCCAGAATAATAATATTGTTTCCAAGATTCTTCTTATTGATTGATTCACAGATTATGCAAATTTATGTTTTGTGTTTTTGTAGAGGTGGCGCCAGGTGGTCCCGAACCTCACCTGTACCCGGCAGTACCAGGATCTAATTCCGGTCCCATAGGGTTCGAAGGTCAAGGTAAGGTCAAGGCACTTAGGAACAAAGTAGAATTATAGATGGCATAAATGTATTGTAATCTATTCTATTGTAGATTATAATAGAATTTTACATAATTATTTGCAATATAAACCCAGCAAGGGAGGGAGTAGTAAGTTTTACAATATTATTGTTTGTGAGGAGTTGTCAAACAGAGGAGAAGAGGATATATTGAAATGTGTTTCAGATTACTTTTATGTGAAGATAGTACATGTATTATCAAGTTAAATTATTTGAATGTGAAGTGAAATTATTAATGTAAAATAATCAACAAGCATAGAGAATTTTCTGCAGCAAGTATGTGGGCTAGAAAGATATGGTATTAAGCAATATTTTAAATGTATTTTAAAACGAAGCTTGAGTGAACAATAATAATGATTTTGTTAACAGCTAATTGCATTGAGTAAAATGCCCCAAAAAACTAGAAAACATAAATTTATCAATAAGGCTTAGTTTGTAGATTAATTCTTGCATATTGTAGAGAATAAAGAGTTTTCGAAAATAATATGAAAAAGTATTTGAGTGTTTAACATGTTTTGCAGTACAAGATGAGATAAAAGAAAAAGAAAGGGAGGACAACTCTGTAGAAGTTAACATGGACACTCCTCAGGTAAGATCAGGAGTTCCCTCCCCTTTAACAGTGTACAATACCAGTACATGCTTCTAACTGTGCCCAGTAACAATTACTCTTTTGTGAATTTAATAACAAATGATTTTTAATTTATTTTTGGTTGGGAATCACCTCTTATTTAGTACCCAAATTAAGACCTTAAATAAAAGCACTTCCACAACAAACTAAAAAAAAAATAATAATAAATTAACAATTATTTAACAAAATGAAATAAAAAAAATTGTATTGAAAATTAAATTTATCTGTGTGATTTGTGTAACATTTGCAGATTTTTAACATCTCTATATTAATTTATTAAGCTAATAAAACAATTTACTACTAAGCTCTCCTAATTCAAATTTACATGCAATGCAGATTGAACCCCAGGATGAGGTATGTTTAAGTGCAATCAGGCCATTCCAATGTATTTTGTATTTTTTCACTGTTCTGCATGCTAATGAATTCAATTAGCTTGAATGCAATGTATACACCTCCATTTTTGTTAACTTTGATAGGAGTTAAATGGTTGATCGATAGTTTTAATAAATCCGACATTATTTTAGTACACAGTTTCCTGTCGAGTAGTTCATTTACATAACATTGTAGCTTACAGGGCAAATCAGGATGTTTATATTATTGCTACACCTGGCTTCTGGGTTAAAAAAAACTTTGCGAAACAAATTTTGATCTCAGTCTTAGTTTACTCAATGAGAGGAATGAAAAGTAAAAAAGAGTGAAACTGTCAATGAGATCAAAAGTGAGATTAATGATTACTGTAGTAATCATTAATTAAAATAAAATGTGATTTTGATTTTGTTACATGTACCTTGCGGCTTGTGTATTTTATAATGGTAGCAACATTCATCTATAACACACTTGCATTTGACACAGACTGTATTCCTAGCTTTTGTCTGTGTGTCTGCCTGTCATATGCTGCCAAATAAAACATATCTATTGCAGGATCAATTTTCATGGATATGTTTAAAGTATCATTTTTTCAAAAACATAATTTTGTCATTTGTTCGTTAAATTTGATTGAGGGTTTTACCTATAAACCCTAAAATTTGAATCCTTCAAAAATTTAGTGAATTTACTATATATTGAGTCTTAAAACCCAAGCTTAAGCCTTATGGGAAGTTTTTTTGTTACATTTGATTCAACTAGCTTTCACAAAAATGCAGGCAAAAAAGACACTTAAATTTGACTAGAAATATAGAGCATAGTATTGTCCCATTGCACTGTTTGTGGTGTATTACATTTACCTGGTAATGATTTGGGGAAAAGGATAAGAAATGTTTGAAAGTGGCATATTTCAGTTAAGCAGCAATTTTATACATGTTGGCTAATAGTCTCGTTCAACCAGACCCTCGGCTGTCTCCGTAAATCTCCGACCACCCAGAGGGTCTGGTAAAGATACGTGATATCGATTGTAACGCCAAAGCGAGGCTTACCGAAATTCTGGTAAAGTTTTTGATTGGCTGAAAAAAACACACCTACAAGATTTAAACAAATACATGATAAATCAGCAGAAAAATAACTTAAAGATGTAAAAGTTCTATGTCTAAAAGTTAAAACCGTTAGAGAGGAATTGTTTACGGTAATGCCCACCAGTTATAGGTAAGTGTATTTGATTATGTCTTGCAAATATTCTGTACGAAAGCCAAAGTGAAAGTAGTTTAGCCTTACCTGCGTAATACAAATTCTTTCGACTGATATTGTAATTTCTCGTTTGGTATCCCTAATTAAAGATCAGTTTATTAATATAAAGTAACAATCAATCAGAAGAAACGTATATAACGTTTGCTTACAAAAAGGATTTTTAAAATGAAAACAAGATAGCGCCCTCTGACGGTTACAAACGCTGACGTGATTCTTTACCAGACTCTCTGCTGGTCGGAGTTCACGGAGACAGCCGAGCGTCTGGTTGAACGAGACTAGTTGGCTAATAGGATTGGTTTTGATTTTGGACATAGAGTTTGAAAGAGAAATGTTATCAAATTTAATTTAATTATGTGTGATGTGAAAAGAGCATTTAGCTGAATTTTTTTGTTTTGTAATGAACAGATAAAATATCAAATAGATATTGTAATGTGTTGATTGACTAAGGAAAAACATTGATAAAGTTGAATGTATATTAATTTACATTTTAAAGCAATATGAGCTGCATTTTTGAGAATTTTATTTTGCCAGTAAAATGTGTTATTATGATTAATCTGTATGTAATTAAAACCCTTATGATCAATAAAGACCAAAATAAAGTTAAAAAACGTTTCAGAAGAAATATATCTGTACAACCGAATATACAGTATTATATAAGAAATCATTATTGTACAGGACGACAATAATTCAATTTTGCTTCAATCAAAGCTTATAAAAACTTCTTTCATAGCAAATATGAACAACAAAAGTTTATAAACGCTTTATTTTCCTGTAATTGAATTAGTTAATTACAAATTTGAAATATTTTTTTTCCGATGTCAAACATGCAGCTCATATTGCTTTAATCAATGTGACTGTGTCAAGAGAATAATCCCAAATTAAGACAGTATATTTAATTAAGTCATGCCTAAGTATGGTGAACTTAAGAGGACATAAATTTTCAAGTGATTTTCAAGTGAACTTCAACTTTGATCTCTTAGGCAATGGTGTTATGGACCACTGGCATTGCTGTATCTCTTTATTCGATATAATTATAAAATTCAAAGATCAAGATAAAAAGGTCGAGTTGTATTACTGGAAGTGTATTGCCTTCACTAAAAACTGTATTATTTATTGACCAAGTGGAGGTCTGTATTAAAATAAGGAGAACACTAATAGAGCTAATTTTTATCTACAGGTTAATACAAAAGACACTGCCAGCTTATTGGCAGAAGAAGATATGGTAAAGAGCAAACCCACCATTCCATTATGTCCTGTAATGTACAGTCAAATCAGAAATCAGCAACATTTCAAATGAAGCAATTGCAGGGGTGGATCCGGAAGTTCAAGTCCTCATACACTTACATTTATAAGGATTGAAAAATTTTACCCAGTCTTGACAAACTGAGAAGGAAATAAACCAAAATGATATTTATGAGGAATTGGGGAATGATACACATGTACTACATTAAAGTCTTAAAATGGAATTCGAAATATGTGAAAGTGGGATGCAGGGGTAAAAAAAAAAGAGGGAATTTTTACTCTTTTCACTTGATTATGAAAAAAATGAATTTTCCATGATTTGCAGTTTCTTTAGATTTGACTGTACATTCCTTAAGTTACAGATTTAGATATCTTTAGCCAAAATAGCATATCTTTTTCACAAAATGAAAGTTGCTTGCACTTTGTGTTTTGATTATTTCTATCTATTTTGAAAGACAAGTTGCTGCTTTTGCAAATTGTAAAAATATGCCCACAACTTACTCTCAATACTTAATACCCTGCTGCTGTTAAAATTTTTACTGCTATAGACTAACATCCACTGATCTAAAACTTTCATCTGTCTTAAGATGTACCAGCATCATTTTGAAAGTGAAATTACATGTATTCACATGTGTATGTAAGACTAATGATTCAGTACTCAGCAATGAGACTGTTACATAAGTTTTCACTGCTCTAATTGTGGACTGAGAATGATGTATCAGAAAAATAGACACAAAGTCCAACAATTTTCATTCTGTGACCATCATGCAAAACTGATATCTCAGGTTTAGAAAATGATGAAAGGTTTTTTTTGTTTGAAAAATCTGAAGAACTTAACATTTTCCTATTGTTTTTGAATGCTTTAAATTTATTCATTTCATTGAAACTAAAGTTGAGGTATCAATGTTTATATACCCATATTTAAATGATACATGTAATGATCATTTTATTTTACTAACAGGATCAGGTGCCCTGTACATACAGTCCAGTGCATGATGTCCTATAATTTTCAACCAATTCATACAAATTAAAAATTCATCTAAATGTCTCTTTATTTAATCTGGGTGAGAGAAACAAATGCTGGCATGTCACTTATGTATGTAAAGCTTAGCCTCACTCATTGTGTGTATTGAATTTAGGAGGGCGGGGCTAAGGCGGAGAAGGAGGAGGAGACTAATTTGATTGACAGATATGCACAGCAGGTGATTGGTCCGTTTCATCTTGAAACATGTGTTGTCAGCATATGTATTTATGAGTCTCTAGGTGTTAGGTTGTGTTGTTTGTATGTTTGTTTGTCTGTTGTCAGTGTCTCTGGCATTGCTTTAATATTGCTTTATTTAAGATATTGTCCTAGAAATGAAAACTATATGACAGTCAATAACATTAGGTAGATGTAACATCTGAAAATTACCTTGGTATGTTATTTAATAGAATGGATAATGGCATATGCATTTAGTGAATATTGTGATATGATACATTTTATAATTATTATGGCAGATGCATGCTTGTAGATTCAAGTTAGGCAAAAATAGTTATTTATATGTCATCTTGCTGACTACCAATATATGTGCATACCATGATCAATACAGTTTTTTTGTTTCAAATTTTATTTGGTCTTTGGCACTTTCTCAGTGCATTTTAAAAAGATTTCTTAATTCTTTGTCTCTCTTTCAAAGTAGGGCTTTTCGTAGAAAATTATGTTCTCTATTTTTATTACGGCAACATTTTGTTTTTCTTAGGGCAAATGTGTTTTGAATGTAAACTGCTATTTTGTAGGCACTATAATCCCTCAAATTAGACTTAAAATGGCTCTTAATTTCAGGTCAAATTGATTTCAGTTCTTCTATTTTAAGGTTCATGGAGACTCTGCTAAGAGGGATAGCTCTCTCATGGATAAATGACTCATACCTTTATAAAAAATATCAATTTAAAAAGTCATTTCTGGCAAATTTTGACCAGTAAGGTATGCTTAAATGTAAAAAGAGCTAAAACATTGTAGATTATCAATGGGAAGGGATGGTGGTGATGAGGGGGAGGGGGGGGGTCCTTAAAGATTTTCTGATGGCAGTTTGAATATCAGTGGAGTGTAAGAGTTCAAAGGTCAATAGTGACTCCTTAGGGAAGATCCTTTAAGTGGAGATTTTTATAACTTCCTCTTACTAAGAAGGTTATTTCCTCACTTAGCTTTAACTCTATATAAGTATTATTTAAGAGTAAATCTTTACTTTATTATTATGCTTTTAAAATTGAAATGAGTGCTAGAATTGTAATACTACCACTTCTTGCATTTTTAGGCCGCTACTCAGAAGTTGTTGAATCAGCTTTCACTTTAGGTAAAATCATTGAAAAGGGGCACTTAAATTTACAATTTGTCTGTTTCTTGCATGAATACCCAATTTTGGTCATTCATTGCATCTGTGTTTCCAAGAGTCTGTATAAATGTAAGGTCCAGCTGCTTTACATGTATTTAAATACTGTCTGTACATGTAGATCAAACAGTTTATTAGTCAGCTGTGGATGTTTATGTATATCCGATCATATTATTACACCAGAGGCAGTCCGCAGCAAAATACTGAGTAAACGAGGGACGTCAACTTTTCTAGTTGTGTCTGCTGAGGCAAGCTATAAGTTCATTTAAAGCTTGACTGAATCTGGAATGTTTACTTTAAGAATGATTACACTTCCTTCAAAACTTACTGTACAGGGAAAAAAATATATTGAAATTTTGACTTGCCTTTAAATAAGTACAGTAATAAAATGTATTCGTGACTCTGGATGCTTACTCATAATGAGATAATTGCAGTGTGATTTGTTTTATTTGTGGAATTTAAAATTTTGATTTTCACTGTTGGGATGCTCATAAAATGTATCCAACTACAGACAATTGCATACCAGAAACTGTTTAATATGAAATGAACATTTGAAGTGAATTAAAGTGAGATGCTTTGAATGGAAAAAAAATTAATTAAAATATAAATGTTGATAGAAGCCGGCTAATTAATCAGAACAATGAGTGGGACTGCGGTGAACATTTCGGATGAGATTCGTTTGGTGGAAGGATATCACTCCACAGATCAAATTGAAATCGAAAAGGAGCGACAGAAAGTAGGAAAAAGTCTTCTTTTTTTTTTTGCATCAAGGCTCAATTTTTTTCCTTTTCTCTGTCTTCATGATCACTTGAATTTTTGTAACAAATTGAAGGATTACGAATTTCTTTAATTTGTACATTTTGAAGGATTACGAATTTCTTTAATTTGTACATTTTGAAGGATTACGAATTTCTTTAATTTGTACATTTTGCGACATTGTGTTGGTGGTTTGATTTTAAAATTGGTTTTGTGGATCTGGTGTATTTAGGAAATTAAAAGGGAGTGCACTCTGTTTAATCGGCTCATTTTGCAAACAAAAATCCATTTATTTTATCAGTTGAGCATGTTGGTTTTTTTGTCTCTCAAACTATGTTCTCTTTGGATTTCTTTTAGTGTAAAAGGTTACAGTTAATTGTGACAATGATCATCTATTAAATATGACAATGATCAGTGAAAAGCAAACAGATAGAACCCAAAAAAATACCAAAACAATTCATTGATTTTTACTTTTTAAAAATAATAACTTAATTGATAGTTTGCAGTCTTTTCTACACATATTTGTGTGGTCATACAATTTCTGCATTCATGCATTTTCAGATTTTCGAATATATATATAGCTGGTACATGCATGCATTCTTGCAGTCTGTTTTATTTGTGTAAAATGTGCACAGTTATTTTCTGCTGCTTACAGTAATTTCTTTTAATTACTACTTTAATTAATCTTTTATAGGATTTTTTCTGCATTCATTGTCAGGAAGTTTATTATTATATATTATAAGTTGGTGATTTCAAATTTTTAAAAGACTTCATTGGTGTATAATTTTATATGCATCTATTTTAAGTCATTCATATAATATGTTTTAACTATCTGTTTGCTAATTTATAAGGTGCATGAAAATAGATTTGTGCATGCTAAAAAATCCTGGAATATTTGTTTTAAGTTATTAAGGTATAAAGTATATTAGCTGTATATAGATTACTTGGTTAGAAATCTAAATTGTACATGCATGTCATATAATATGATTACTTATAATACAATTATAACATATTACTGTATTTTATCCTCTTATGTACAGCAACATTGTGTATCATTTGGTGCATATATGTCATTACTGATTCACCATAACAAAAATGAAATATATGTACTTTCTAAGACTGTGTGTTGGGTATTTAGGAAAAAAAAAGAATACAATTTGGTACTGTGTGTAACAGTATGAGAAATGTCCATGCTATCATTAGTAAGGTAGCAATATGCTTGTTTATAAAATCTGTAAGCCCTTTTAACATAAGAAAGATAAATTTCTCCTATTAATTTCTTTGAACAGAAATTTGTCCAATTAAATTTTGATATTGTAATTATAGTCATGTATAAGAGACCTGATAATATTTACTCATGTAGTGTATGATTTTACAAACAACATTTTAGGAAGCTGCATCTTTTTTCTTAAAAATAAAAACAACATGAATTAATATATTCATGATATTTGAAGAATAAATTTTTAATTGCCAATGAATAAGTGAAAATTTATTTATTGCAGATAATTAACGAGAAAGCCACTTTGTTCTTCAAAGACGGGAGGAGGAAGATCGATTACATCCTGGCTTACGAGCCGGGGGATGAGGAGGATCCAAAGAAAAAACAGAGGCGGGAGACGTTCGAGAAAAATCTGATAGAGGAAGGATTGGAGCTAGAGCACGAGGGAAAAGAGGTGGGGATCTAACTATTTTAATGTTTTCAGAGGTGGATACAAAAAAGACATAAATTTAATCGTAAATGTTTAAATGTGCTCATTAATTTATGATTTGGTATTCATATGTAGGTGAGAAATTTTAAATTTCATTATATGTAGAAATTAATTGGCTTTTTTGTAGATATTGATGTGAAAAAATAATTTTTATTTGATTAAAAAGGTTCAGATGTTAAAGATGAAGAAAGTTTTGGTGAAAAAAAAAGCAAAATTTCTGTCATGTCATTTATATTATATTGAAAAATCATTGCTTATAAACTAATATTTCAGTCCTCAAAGAATGGTAAAACTTGCTTTGTTAAAGTCCATGCACCCTGGGACACACTGGCTAGATATGCTGAACTCCTCAACATCAAGATGCCTCTGGCGGTATATATAAAAATTATACAGAACTGTAATAGAAAAGAATTTCACTTTATAAAAACTACCAGTGAGAAAAAAATATTGTAATAAACTAACAATGAACTAAATGATTGATCTGTCCATTTTTAACCTCGGTCAATATGAATATTTTTCCGGTGAATAACAAAACAAGTATATTCAACACCAAAAGAGTCCATAATTGTATATTATTGCACTGTGCATACTTTTTCTATCTCTTTTTATAGGAGAATGACATGGAGACACAGCTAGAGAGCTGCTTTGAGGTCTGCTGGAGTAAGTTTCCGTCGCCCTTTGACCTCGATCCCGATCTCCTACCGGACGATCCTGACTACTTCACCGCACCCTTCAACAGGGCCCGTATGGACACGTAAGGGAAAATTTATAATTCTTATATAAATCAAAGTACTGAAAGTACTGAAAAGCGGTTAGCATGCTTTCATCTAATATGTACCGAAAAAGTGCATAAAATGATTATATTTAAGTATGCATATCTTTGTCCAATGTCATCAGAGAAGAAAAACCCAGACATTCTGTTTTTGTTCCAAACTGATGTCACAGATGGATGCAATCTAATTAAAATTAGATGTTCCAAATCCGCTACTGCTTCTCAAACATCTAACAACATCCTATTTGGGTTCATGTAAGAGTGAATCTTCGATTAGGCAAAGAAAATGGTTCCTCCGAAATCCTGGCTAATAGTTCAGATGGGTTTCTTGTTTTCACCACCCAACCAAAACACCCGAGGAGTTTTGTAGTAAAAAGATATGCATTGCAAAAGTTGTGTTATGTATGACATGTGGGGTATCTTGTATAGTTTGTGCTCTTTCGTTTGCATTATTCACGTTTAGATGCCAGACTGCAGAAGATACATGAAATTTATTCCAAAATTACTTTAATTCAACATAAGACAGTATCAATAATGATGATATGTAGCCGTGGAATTAATTTGAGAACTGTTTACCGAGGCTTGAATCTACATGGCCAAAGTGTTTGTGTTTACTTGTACATGTATTCATAATTGAAAGGTCGCTCTGATGTGACCCTGAATGGGATGTTAGATGTTTCAGAAGCGGTAGCGGATTTGGAACATTTAAATAAATTTTAATAAGATTGAAATGCATGTTTCAAAATTTAAACATGAGATTTCTTCAGTTTGAAAGACAGGAAGTGCATTTTTAAAAATTCTCTCTTGACGGCATCCAATTGTTCTCTAGATAAAAAAAAATTATGTTGATGTTGAAAATTTCATTGTCTTTTATTCTCTATTGAATCTGAAATTAGGTAATTGTAAAGCCTACTATAACAAACAACTAAAAAAATGACAAGTTAGATTAATGGATTTGGAGTAGTGTAGATCTACAGCTGGCTAGTCAGAGAAAAAAGGATGGCTGAGGAGAGACTTTGTAAATGAATTGATATCAGAGAGATTCAGTTGTGTAGGCTCATCGCGGCAATATAATTAACCTGTCAACGAGGGATGCTTACTTTTTCTAGGCAACGGATCCCACCTCTTGAACTTTCAGGAGTCAGCTTTTCTTCTTAAATCGATCATTGATCATTCTGTATTTTGATACAGATACTGAATACTTCCTTTAGTAATATTATAAACTACTACTTCTACGGGAAGACTGGCGAGTAAACAAGATTATCAAGCTTTATGAAATATATTTTATTGACTTTTCAAACAAGTAAATGTTCGAATAAAGTAAATGGTATATGAGAATCATTTGAAAGAAGTCTTGCACAATATAAGGCACAATATCTAGATAAGGACATATAAGGTATTTTTATCATATACTCTTCATGCAATATTGTTCTCAAATAAAACATGAAAAGGAAAGTTGTGTAATCAATCAATACTAGTATTTAAAAATTCAAATGTACATTAAAAATCAGTGTAACTTAAGAAATTATCAGTGTCAATTTCTTCAATATGTCAGTTAAACAATATACACTGATTTCTTTTCTATCAATGTGCCTCTAAACACCTGTATTTTAATTGTATTCTTCTCAAACGTTTAAAACAATATTCGACAAATTGAACAAATTCAAATTTTAAAAGTATTTTCACAGCTAATAATTTAATTCTGATTGCAACGCTGTATTTGATTGGATAAAAAATTTACTTCATATCGTATAAAATGGGTTGCCTACGTCACAATGACACACGTCAAAAACGTCTCAATCCGCCTGACGTTACATTCAAATTTTGTACAAATTGAAGTCATTTTGTAAGAACAATCATCTTTTTTTCTTACAGCAAATGAATGAAAATTAAATTCGCGGTTTATAAAGCGTAAACTGCCCCAACCCAGTTTATACCGTATAAAATGGGTAGCTATTAAATTCATTCCTTAAATAATACGTTCCCTAGGAATTGATCAAATTTTCAAAACTTATAAATAAGCATTAAGTATATATTTTAAATTTTTGCTAATTGCCAAAATTTTTCATACCTCATTCTTCTGTGAAAATAATATCGGTTGATTTTTAGAAAAGGATCACAATGCTAATTAAAATTAATATATATTTCTCCATTTTTTTTTCAAAATTGATTTTACTACTTTAAGTGCTCCATTATTTTTTACAAAACTAATAGTAAGTAATCCCTTATGATCGATTGTTATAAATTATCAAAGACGGAGTAGAGAATTTATCCCTGGGAGCAGAGCTTTTATAATCTGTTTATTAGACAGAGAAGAAAAGAGAAGAAAAACAAACGTTTCATAGTGGAGGTAACCCTATTGTTTCCGAAAACGTTACAAAAAGTGTAAAACTTACAGATGCGTTCGGTGTTTTTATAAAAGCGCTTTTCAGGTATTAACTTAATAAATGGTGTTTCTTAATACTTTGGCAAGGAAAATCAAACTCGATCGAGAGATTTGCTGATGTTTTTTGCAGTCTGTAATAACCTCCAACCTGCTGTATAATAAACTTTCAAAAATAAACTAACAGTTGCCAGAAATCGCGATCGCGCGATACACATGTAATTAGGACCAAATTCTCAGTTCTTAAAAGTAAGTGTTGTAAGTATTGTCAATGCTTTGGTAAATATACTAATAAGAATTCGATATAATCGTTATAATAGCCACTCTTCATACACAGCATATACTTCGTTAGTACGAAGTGATATAGTAGGGGCTGGCTTTAGTCAGACTTCACAGCATATTGTCGATCTCTAACCAGGGGGCGTATTACGCCGACAGTATACAAATCATTTGCTGAAGTTACCGTTGTCGATAGGTAGGTCCTTGTGGAAGTTTCCGGTTTTGGTTGCAGAAGGATAAGGTTACGAGCGATAAAGCGATGCCGATAGGTAGCGCCTTATGGAGGTTTCCGGTTGCCGACACATGCCATATAGCGGCTAGCGAAGCTAACCGCTTAAAAATTATCTGTTTGTAAGGGAATATTTAGAATCTTTTATCAGCTGTTTTTGAGCTAACATTTCAAATGGGATGGAAATCTTAGCAAAAAGGAATGCCTTGCTGGAAAGATCTTTTAAAGCAATTTATTTTTTGGGAGGGGGGTGGGATGGGGGGTAGTGATGCTTTGTTAGAGAGAAATCAATCAATTTAATTTTTTTAGGAAGATGGATCATCAAGGCTTCATGTTAATTTCATTATGTTGTCAAAAATATTACATTTCCTAATTTACTAGAAAATGATGGGAAAAAAATTGAAGAGAAGTAAACTTTTACCTCATTTGCGAAGAAATGCATTGGTTTCAGTAAGAATGGATAATGACATTTATTTCCTATCTAGCTTGTAACACGAGCTTTGATTGGTTACAAAGTCGGGTGTAAATAGCCGTGCACCCGACTTGGGCCGGGTGTAAATAAAATGTGACGTCACAGTGCATACATTCTCAGTACGTAGTTATCTAATCGATAGATTGAGACACACTCTGATGTTTACAAAGCATTTTTATTGGTACAAAGGAAATAAATTCGTTATCCAGGTCCAATCAAGGGTGTATGGGGATTTACCCCGGGTTTTATTCCGTACACCCTTCGGCTTGCGGCCTCAGGGTGTATGGAATAAAACCCGGGGAAAATCCCCGTACACCCTTGATTGAACCTGGATAACTAATAGTAAACGGTGTCTACAGGGGGTGGTTGGGGCTTTTGTTCTTTTATTTCACAATTTGAAACTGTATGTAATTAGATATATTGGTGTGGAGTGGAATGGTGAAGAGTAAGTATATAAGTATATTTACATTGTTATCATGGTAAATAAATATTTACGTAATCTGCCATGCATCAGTTTCTACAATATCATCTTGGATGTGCATTTTCATGTACCATAAAATGTGAACCTTCAGTTTGTCTTTCCATACACACATGTATATGATGAACTTAAAGTATTTACAGTATATAGGTACAGAATAACATTTCTTCAAATGTCATTAATATATTTATATTTTCCTTCTACAATAATCAAATTATTGACAATGAATTATAGGTGTTGCAAAATCTTAAGAATATTTATGTCTTACTCAATAGTAAGAAATTTTGTTTAGGAAAAAAACAATGCTTATGTAAATAGAAAAAAATATTGAAG